AAGAAAGATTTATATATATGTTTTTAAATAAATTTAATTTAAATGATTTTTTTGTATAAATTTACATATAAAATTAGATGAGTCAACTTATTTAATTTATAAGTAACAACACTCAGTTAGACATGTTCTATAACTGTTATACTGCATTTTCAAAATATTAATATTCTAACTATTCACAAGTACTATGAGTTCTATCCCACCCAAAATGATTGATCCTAGTTCAAGTTTGTAATTTTTGTATTCTAGTTGTATTTATTATTTGTATATTTAATAAAGTATAAATAGAAAACCTTTCGCATACATCTGAAAAAACTAGTCTCGAAAGAAAGTTTGAAATTTTGAATATTAAAAATGCACATAAAGAGCCTGTTAATAAACAATATCCTGAGAATATATCCAAAAGTCCAGATCTCAAAGGCGTTATTAAAAAACTAGGTCTTGACGATGAATATTTTTTAAAGGATAAAGATAAGTTAAAGAAATTCTATAGTATGTAATAAAAAGAAAAAAAATCTGATTATTTAACCTAATTGTATTTTTACTAATACAGTATATCCTTGTTTAGACTTCGTTGACCCTAACTTTGTTTGGCAATCCACAATGAATATCTACAATCATTGTGAGGTCTTTAGTTATGTTGTTAATCCTGACTGGGAAGTTGGTGAAGAGATTGCAACAAATGCTATTGCATATCATCATCTACTTGAATCTAAAAATCTTGATGCATCAAAAAGAACATATATATTATTTGTTTATGATGAGATATTATGTTATAGAGAAGAAATAAGTTCTAATGAATACGAAAAACTTGCTAAAGAATATCAAGGAATGTTTTATGTTCCTATTGTTAGGAGAGAACCCATTGTAATATGCAGATTTTCTGCAATCAATGATACTACAAGAAAGGAATAGCAGGTTTGTATTTATAATATATAATATTTATCGATGCAGAATAATATCATTTGCTATTTGCCACATTAGGTTCATATTCATCTTCAGAATCTAGATCGTTCAGATCAAGTGAGCATGACAAATAATGAGAATAATTTTTGAATAGTCATTGATACTGAATCAACAACAACAGTTATACCATTTTTGTTAAGGCAAAAGTTATGTAATAGGTAAAAAAGTCAGAGTCTTAATAGTGATTCTATCTCTGAATATGGTGCAGATGTATATTTATCAAGTTACTCAACCATGGTATATTTCTATTGGTGATAGAACTTATTGGTCTGACTGGGTTAAAACACAAGAACTTTACTTATGATAAAGGGTTGTCCTGAATGATATTAATTGTGGTTTATTGGGTTATAATGTTCTTCTTGTATACAGAATATGATTCCGGGCTCTTATACAAAGTTTATCAGATTTATTTGATAAAGCAATTAAATCAGGTCAGAAACAAATTTTATGTTGGTATTATTATTCTTTAGAATTCGAAAATAA